TATATATATGCATTTTTTCAATACAAACAAAGTGACAAGATGCGAGTTCTTTACACTGAGCTCAGTTAGCTTATTTGAGTAGCATTAGAGCTCTGATGGTTTGGTTCACTGTGGTTTTTTAACCAAGACATGTGGCCTGTATAAAATGCACTTACTGTGAAAAGATTTAGACTGTTTTATGGGAAAATACAATTTTCTTTGTAAAATATCTGAAAACTTTGACAAGTTTAGCATTTAGATCAATATCTCCATTTAAATAAGTCACCTGATGAATAATTTTATTGTTGATTTATGTGTATTAATTAAGGAAAATATACTCTAAAGCAAAAGTAGGGATTTCAAATGTAATAGGAATGAACTAATAGAAGTTGAATGATAATTTTATTTTCTAGTGAATGTTTTCTGGATATGTTTTTATTTGCTACCTGATCAGTGATAATCTGTAGCTGCAGAGACTACCTCTTTCTGTTCTCAAAATCAACAGGAAAGCAGTCTGATCTCACTTACTGACTGTGCCTTATCAGTTGGAAAGTAATATTGAAGCATCTTGCTGTTCACGACTTCACTCCCCAGCTTGATCTGTAGCGGACACATCTTGTTTAAAATAGCGATGCGCCTTAAAATCCATTTATTTCTGCTGCCACGCGTGAAAAATGAAAGCTGTTACCTGAGCACAAAGGCCACAGAGTGACGCTAAATTTTAAAGTCTTCCAGCTGTGTGTGTGTGTGTGCGTGTGTGTGACGTTAATCCCTCTTGGCTCATGTCCTGTGTGGCTGTGTTGTGGCTGTGATTGCAGGCAGTGGGGCCACAGCTGTGGTGCAGGCAGCCCTCTGTACCCCTAGACAGGAGCGTGTTGCCATAAAGAGAATCAACCTGGAAAAATGCCAGACCAGCATGGATGAGCTGTTGGTGAGTACAAAAAATATGGGCTGTTTTCTCAACATCATGTTTTTGTCTCTTTCTCCAACTCTGTGCTGCTACATTACCTATGATCCATATTTTTATTATTTTGCTAAAAAATCACATTAAAACACCGGATCAGTTGTTGCACAGCGGTAAAATCACACTCCTGCTGTTGTCGTGGATCCTTACTGATCATTAAGTAGGATGAAATTTGTTTGGAAGTGAGATGTTTCGAACATTTAATGGTTTTTCTGTTCATCTCTGTTAACAGAAAGAAATTCTTGCCATGAGTCAGTGCAACCATCCAAACATAGTCACCTACTACACCTCCTTTGTTGTGAAAGATGAACTATGGCTTGTCATGAAGCTTCTGAGTGGAGGTAACGTTAATCCTGTCGTAAAGTGTTGATCCTGCAATATAACTGTTCTTTTACATGTCTGTGCTCGATCCACTGATCATGGAACAAACAGCGTTTTCTGTCATCTCTAACAGGAAACTCAAAAATAAAAAAAGAGATGTAAAACATGATGACAGTAACATCCAGTAAACCTACCCTTTATTTTTATTTAAAAATTTGAATTTGGTTCATGGGTTTTAAGTTATATCAAGCATAGCTTACTTGGAATCATTAATTGGGGTTGTTTGATTGCGTAGATGGTTTCACCCCAAGTTCAGCCCCCCAGACTGAACATTAGGTTAAAGGAGAGAGGCACAGGACTAGTGATTGTCAGAGGCATCATATAGAAAGAAACAACAAAGACCCTGAAGTACATCCAGAAGAAATCCCCCAGTGATGAACGGCTCAGTGATTGTCCTCAACAACAGAACCTGAATGCAGAAGAGGAGGAAGCAAGAGGAACCATCATGGGAAGATAAGCCCCCTGCGTGGCGTGTACCACCTACAGATTGAGGAAGTGGCTGATCTCTAAAGCCTACCAGGCTGGACCAAAGGACTGAACAATTGGACTAATCATGGCGGCACAGGAGTGGTAGAGGTTGGGGTCTATTATACCATACAGAAGCCATGATGGAATCTGTGCAAAGATGCCCCTGAGACAGATCAACACATAATAGCAGGACGTGAGATGCAGGCAGACAAAGCATATGTGGAATGCAAGGGTTGAAATACCCTGGGACGTCTAGATCCTGTGATGGACTTACGACCTGTCCAGGGTGTACCTCACTCCTGGTACTGTGACTGCTGGATATGGGCACCGGTGACCCTGAAAGAAAGAAAAGGGTGAAGATGATGGATGGATGGATGATAGATGGATGGGTGGGTGGGTAGGTGGGACATCTCACAATCATTGATAACCAACCGGACATTGTGTTGGTCAACAAGCTGTAGCGAAAACCATTGGTGATAAATGTAGTGAACCTAAGGCTGGGCAATAATTCATTATCAATATATTATTGTGTCAGATGTGATCAATAACAATGGAAAAATTTCCACTAGAATGTTGATGATTTCATTGAACACTGATCCAGAAGTGCATGGCATTCTRGGGGATACTATATGCAGAGGAAAAGCTTTAGCCACTTGACCTCTCATGGTTCAACTAAGCCAGGTTCAACTAACTCACTCTTTGGTAAGCTAGCAACAACCTGCTGACTAACATGCTCAGCATCGCCTTCATGTTTCACCACCATGCCTCATAGCTGCTTAAAAAAAGAAAAAAAAAGAATGATGTGCAGTGAAAGGATAAAATGAGTGCAACAGCTCCAGAGAAAATTGTGGATAAAAGAGGAAAAGTCACATCACCAGTTTGACAGTATTAATCGGCCTTTTTTTCTCCTGGTCCTAATATATTTTTCAGCCACATCGCCCAGTCCTAGCTGAACCAAAGCGACTGTAATATCTGGAAAAAGATGCATGAGAAGATAAAGAAAAACTAAGAAAAAGCAAATGTAGAGGTTGTGGGGAGTCAAGGCCTTGGTGGTCATTGTAGCAGAAGAGTGGCTTCAAAAGACCCCCAAAACAACCTCAAAGATCTCTGTCCAGAAGAGCCCAGTCCTACATACAGCTAAAATACAGAACTCAGGCCTCTGCTGTTTATGATTTAAAATGACCAGAGTGTTTTTGTTTGTTTTTCTTGTCATCTTAGGCTCTATGCTGGATATAATAAAGCATTCGAGCAAAGAAGATGATAAAAATCAATATTTAGATGAGCCTATTATCGCCACCATATTAAAGGAAGTTCTGGAGGCCCTGGATTATCTCCACAGAAATGGACAGATTCACAGGTAACTCTTGTATCTGACTTTAGTTTATTATATTCATATTTTAAGAATTAGGAAACTGTCAATTTCAGTAAAACTGTGGTTATGGTGTAAATCTGTTGTGGTACTCTGCACAGTTCCTGGATTTCAAGGTCAGTGAGAGCCAGGCTGAAACCCCTGTTTTCCCCTCAGGCACACATTCTAGGCAGGATAGTTAGTTTAACTACACGAACGGAAGAATCAATGCTGCTCCATGTGGCTTTGATGTTTTACCCCGGTGTTGTTTTGTTGACCGCAGGGACGTGAAAGCTGGGAACATACTCCTGGGAGAAGACGGCTCTGTTCAGATTGCAGGTTTGTGTTCAGATTCCACTCTTTTCTGCCCAGTTTTAACTTTAAAATCCCACATTAAACCAATTTACAGCTTTGATACTTGCCCTCTTAAATTAGCTCAACGTGGTTTTACGTCTGTTTCACACATTTGTTTTGGCTTTTGTCTCTTCAAGGCGAAAAGGGCCAAGTCTGTTCTGATTGTTGATTTAACTGGTGAAGAACTGCAGCTTCTCATTTCGTGTTTGAAGTGTCCTAATCTTACCACTAGGCTGACGTTATTATGTTGTCATGTTTTATTAAATTATAAAAAGAAAATCTACTTTTGATGTGCGGTTTTGAGCAGTGCAAGAGCCATGTCTTCTTTGGTGTGAACTTCCCTGTTCACAAATAGTTGCAGCAGGCAAACTTAAATACTTCCCTGGTATTGACAGCTTTATATTCACACTTTTAAAATAGTTTCCAGCATTGCCTCGTAGCAAGGATTTATTTTTTTATATGAGAGTGTGAAATTGTAACTGTTGGTTATGGTTAAAGCTCCCGTTTTATTTGTTTTTATAGATTTTGGAGTCAGTGCGTTCCTATCGACAGGAGGCGACGTAACGAGAAATAAGGTTCGAAAGACTTTTGTTGGCACGCCTTGCTGGATGGCTCCAGAGGTGATGGAACAGGTGAGCTCAACATAAAGACCACGTATTATCTGTTTTTAACATCAGTATCAGTAAAAAGCAATTTTAGCTGCAAATGCACAAACGTGTAACACTGTCCATGTTTGCAGGTTCGAGGCTATGATTTCAAAGCAGACATATGGAGTTTTGGCATTACAGCCATAGAGTTAGCAACAGGATCTGCACCGTATCATCGCTACCCTCCTATGAAGGTGAGTGTTTCAAAAGAATCGTTCAGATGTTTTACTCCAGAGACTTTCACTGGAAAGGAGAAAAAGGAAAACGTGGGGAAAAATAAATAAACCACAGATAAGACAGAGATTTTGTCTTTCCTTTTTCTCATCTGCATTATGTTTTCCTGTATTGCTGCTAAAACACCTGGGTTGTTTTTACATTTTTTTTTCCCTTTTCGCTATGCGTTCAGGTTTTAATGCTTACCCTGCAAAACGACCCACCCACTCTGGAAACAGGCGTAGAAGACAAAGAATTGCTCAAAAAATATGGCAAATCACTTCGAAAGCTAATATCAACGTGCCTTCAGAAGGACCCTGCCAAAAGGTTTGTCTCTCATTTTACATATCCACTTTGAAGATGGAAGCTGATGCTGTTTCCATGCAATTGGAAGCAAGTGATCCTTGTTTTGTTCAGTGATTGCTATGTTCAGATGTAATTTAAATGCTACAATTGTTATTTTTCGCACCAGAGAAGGTTGTTTTCGTTACTCTGATCCTGTGCAGATCACAGAGAAGCAACATTTGTGGTTTTTCAACATTAAATCGACATTTTGTTTAGTTTGTAGCTCAAGTGTTTCCCAATTCTGCAGTTTTTCAGATGTTTGTGTCTTTTATCCAGAAACATCTTTCCTGCCTGCAGTCACATTTTCTAGTTTTTCTTTTATTAATTTGTGTGTGTTTGTTTTACCGTTTTAGACCTACGGCTGCAGAGCTTTTGAAGTGTAAATTCTTCCAAAAGGCCAAGGTATTTGTCTCTATTCAAATATTTGGCACACAGTCTTTGTTTGGTTTTATTATTAATGTTTGGCTTGTGGCTTCATCCCAAGTCCACCAGTGACTCACCTGTGGCTTTCAGTGATTTCACATTGGTTTATCAAACCACAGTGTGCCGGAGCAAAGGTTTGATCAGTTTTAATATGACAAAAATGATGAAGTATAGTAGGGGAGGTGGTCAGCTTGTTTTTTCTTTATGTGAAAATTTCTATTTGTTTTTTACAATCTGAAGTATCTATATAATAAAACAAATATTTGAATTAATCTTAAAACAATAGCCTTCAGGATAAAGTTTTGTTTATTTAAATGCGAATAGCAGGATCAGGTTAAAGGCATCACCTGTCTTTTTTCACTTTTTTCCTGCTAAGCTTTTGTGTAAAGAATCCACTTGTGATTTAAATTACTTACAATTAAGTGTTGATGATTTTCTCTATTTTGTCTTGCAGAACAAGGAATATCTTGTTGAAAAGCTTTTGAGTTGTGCACCAAAGATTTCTCAGAGAGCAAAGAAGGTATGTTCACATAGTTGCACCCTGCGAAACATTATCGTTACCGTTTCAACACGAGGAAAATGTGCGAGGATGAACTCAGGTGGCTTTCTCCACCAACATTTACGGTCAACAAAGCGTACGCACTCTGTCGTTTCTCAGCACATCAAACGCTGTGTTGTGTAGAAGATGTTAAAAAAACAAGAAAAACAGGTACATAAAAGTCACGCTGTGCTCTGCTTGTGTCTGCAGACTGTAAAAGCAGCTTCCTAGCTGTGCTAATTCAAACAGTGGTAAATTTATTGCTAACGTCAGCTGAGAAAAAAATATATAACGGCACAAAATATTTGTTGGTTTGCTTGTTGTTTCCCCCCACATCTTTCAGTTTAATGAAGAGGAAGTGCAGTTTATCAGACACGGCTGATATTGGCTTCACATAATATTCTGACTGAATGCCCGGGACAGGAGCGGGATCAGAGGGGGCACTGCCAGAAGGCGGAGTGTCCGAGTGCAGGGTGGAAATCTACTGACATAGCTGCGAGTTGATGAAGGGCATAGTACACAGCAGGAGCGTTACTGTGGGTGATGTTATAATTATGCGCAAACAGGGTCTGGTGTACTGTTGTTGATGGTTTAAGTGTGAACTAGAGGCTTGTAGCAGCAACAACATCGACAGTGCAGACATAAATATTTAGAGGTTATTTAAAAAGGGCAGACATTGTCCTCTAAATATTCACAGATTTGATGCAAGAACTTAAATGARCTTCAGTATTATGATTTTACTGAAGAATAAAACCTTAAATAAATAAGACATTACAGCAATGAAACGTCATCTTCAATGCATTTTTAGTCTGGGGAAAATTTCCCAAATAGAATAAAGTGGGTTAACTCAATACTTACTGCAATAATTTCCCTTTTGTTTCTATATGCTGAGGTGTGACAAAAGTATAATTGCAGTCGAGGAAATTTGTAACAGAGCCGGTGTCCTTGTTRTTTTGTGCTGATTTGACCTGCAGAGTCATCCACACTATAAGCTCAGCAACATTCCCCAAAGCTTGCAGAGACAAGCAGTACTGTGGAAATGCCGCTATCCCAGGATGCTGTGACCTTAGCTACTTCCAGACCTCTTTACTCAGCACCTCTCGTTAGACAATCTCTTTAAATCTTTTGACCTCCTCCATCTGCAGCATTTTCCTCTTCTGGACCTTGGTTGCTTGAGATTCATCGCCTTTGTGTGTGTGTGCTATTCTGTACTCATGGTGAAAATATCGACTCAGAGGGAATAAATATTCAAAGATAAGACCTGAAGCTGCACTGCTAGGCACTCACTTAAGGAGGATCTTATTTCTCCTACCCCAGGGAATGAACGGGAGCTGGCAGATTTTGTCATCATACAGTAATTAAAGATGTTATCTAACAATTGAAGAGAATGAATGGAAAGTCTGTTCTAAAAAAAAAGGAAATTGGAAGAGTTGATGATGTCTTATTTGGAACCTATAAACAAGGCTGTGTCATATTTTAATTTAAATGTAAAACAAGATTACTTTCAGCAATGCGGTTGCATTTGAGCTGAATATCCAGCAGGGGGCGCACTGACACACAACTGGGCCTTCAAATAAACAAACAGCTGCCTTTACTGTTTTGGAATGTTAAGTGTTGCAATAGGCTTGAGAAATGAATTTATTTAATAATAAAAATGAGATAAAAAAAAGAAAACTGGTTAATGATTAATTATATTAAGTAGCTTTGTGCCAAAAATCTTTTGTACAAAAAATGTCAGAGCTTTTCTCGGATGCTTTCTGAATCCGTGCTTTAAAAAGAACAGATTTACCCAGAACGTGTTGCATCTTTAGCCTTTAAAAACCTTGGATTCAGTTGTTGGGGTGATCATGTTCGGCCTTGGAGTGCATTGATCTGTTTCTGTTTTGCTCGGAGACCCTGAGCAGAACTGGGGGTGTCTTTGTCTTCTCTCAGATTTGGAAAGCAAATCCGACACCAGCAGAAGGCTAGAGCTGCTTTAACTCTGACCTCGTCCAGAGCACTGGGAATTTATGAGGCCGGTGGCGTACAGTTTTGTGTGCTGACTCTTCTGTATCACTTTGCAGCTCATCTGACCTCACACTGCTACACTGAGTTGCACATCTTAGATGTTTTTACCACACCGTAAACAACGAAAAATATAGTGTTTTTTAAATAATATAATACGTCTTGTGTATGTTTTGTTAAACAGAATGGGTTATTCTGCTTTTTGTTGTGTCTGAACTTTAACCGAAATGATTTCATTCATTGTAGTTTGTAATTAAAAAAATCATTTTATGCAGAACAACTTTGGCTTCAGTGCCACATTTAAAGCTTTTCTTTTAAACAGCATATTAAAAGTTATTTATAAATTAAATCTGGAGGTGTCAAGAAACAGCTTAAAAAGTGACACAAAAAATACTAAAGGCTCTTCAGTCACYTTGCAGAATCAAAGCAGAAAACAATGATTTTCAATCCCTTTTAAGTGTATTTTAACAGGAAATGGTACAAACCTATCTTGTTAAATATTAATAAAAACATTTCTGATGTTCTCATTTTGAATTTCTATGCTAGAAAAGAAGCAGGAACATAGTTACCACTTTGTTGCACTACTGTTGTATCACAAGATGTTATTTATGTTCACTGACCCTGTGTGTTTGTACCCATATTTTATTCGATTCAGTTCAGTTTATTTACTGTATATAGTGCCAAGGCACAACAAATGTCATCTCAGGGCACTGTACGTACTTAAAAAATAAAAAATAAAAAATGAACCAGTCTAAGGAAGCCAGCAGTTTGCATTGAATCCCTTTGCCACAGTCTCCYGTCTTGAGCAGCACATTAGCAAGCAAAGGAGAAGCTGGACAGGAAGAAACCTCCAGYAGAACCAGGCCCATRGAYGGGCGGCCATCTGTTTCAACTGGCTGGGTTTGAGAGGACAAGAAAGCAACACAGAAACACAGAAGGACTGGTCCAGGTGTRATTTCTTCTGGAAGAGAGAGACAAAGAAAACATGTTATTAATATAAATAATTACAACAAACCTGTAGAGGAGAGTGACTAAAGACAGCAGCAAAACGATGATATGTGGTCAGTTTGTAGTCGTAAGCCTATAACAGCAGAACTAAGGGATAACTTAGGAAACCTAAGTGTAACTTTAGGATTTATCAAAAACGAAAGACTTAAGTCAGCCTCATGGACAGAAACTGGAAGTTGGTTCCACAAGAGAGGAGCTTGATAACTGAAAGCTCTGCCTCCCATTCTACTTTTAGAAACTCAAGGAACCACAAGTAAACCTGCAGTCTGAGAGTGAAGTGCTCTGTTAGGAAGGTATGGAACAAAAAGACGTTTAATATATGATGGAGCTTGGTTGAGAGCTTTGTATGTTAGGAGTAATATTTTAAATTCTATTCTAAATTTGACAGGGAGCCAGTGGAGAGAAGCTAAAACTGGGGAAATATGATCTCCTTCCAACTCTCATTAGAACTCTAGCAGCAGCATTTTGGATCAACTCACGATTTTTAAAGATTTTCTTGGACACCCAGATAATAAAGAATTAGAGGTAACTTTTTAAATGTGGGGGTTAAAAGACATCCTGATCAAAACATGCAGCAAGTACTGCATTCAAATTAAATCTTGGACAAATAGCACATTGTTTAGGTATGTACAGTTTAAAAACCTACAAATATGACTCTACCTCTGTTATGTTGGTCAAGGTGAGGCGAGTCCCAGGCTCCAGTGGCCACTTGCATAAGACAGAAGATGGAGACTGGGAGTGGAGCGATGATGAACTGGACGAGGGCAGCGAGGAAGGAAAGGCAGCGGTGAATCAGGGCAGGGTAAGCGTGACTCCACAAAAACCAGCAGATTGTGGGGGTTTTTTTGTCAATAAAATATGTTTATAACAAATCCATTATGTATTTTCAAGTAAGCTGTGCTGTGAAAGTGTTGCATGAACCCCACCCCCCTCCTTCTGTATTGGACTCTGTTCATCCCTGCCCTCCTCGATCAGTTAGTTTTCCAGCAGATGTCAGAAAGAGTTTGTCATGAGGTCACTGAAATGAGCTGGAGGATTGCTGCAAAGATTTCACGCTAGAGGAGGAAGACGGCTTTGATTAAAGATTCCTTGGATGAAAATGCTCAACTCTAATAGATGGTGCAATATATATT